CAGGAATGTGTACAAGCACCCACCCTGCACCTGTTTAGACCTTCAAAATGGCACCAGACTTTTCTGTCAATGGAAAAAAAATTTTTTAAATCCTGTTTATACTCATAATAACTAATGCAGGGAAAATGTGGACTCTCGAATAGAGACAATTTTCAAACATTGGCACAGCTGAGTAGCAAAATGCAGCACTCCCTTCTGTGGACTGGTAATTGGCACCCCAGGAATTTAAAATTAATGTAGCTGCCAGGCTCCTGGGTCTGGCTGCTGTTTGCAGAGGTTGCTGGAGGTGTGGGCTTCATCTTTACCTGTGGATAGTAGGGATGTGTTTCTCGCTCTCTTCCATGCTTGTGCTATATAGCCAGAGACTCTTGAGTTTGTTGGACGGTCACTGCTTTCCCTCTCACCTTTAGCAAATCCTTGTATCTTTTTTTAGTGCTGCTGTTAAGGTGCTGTGGTTATGGGAAGTAAGACATGAAAAAAACAGTGTTGCCCTTTTCCTTAATTAAGGAGTGCATAAAGTGTGCTATAGGATCATGCTAATAACTTTTTGTGAATTTTGTGTTGTGTTCTAAGTGAGAGGAGAACCTTTGCAACGCTTAGTGCTGGGGCCCTGGCAGAGCAGCCTGTGCTGTGCCAGCAGCATCTTCCATGTCCTTGGCCAGAGGAGCTACAGATAGCTTGAGGGGTTTGGTCTTTTTCAACAGAAATTGGAAGCATTATGATCTCATAAAAATTCCTGAGACTTTTGCTAAGTAATGGGTTTTTATTTTTCATTTGGGTAAAATAGAAATGACTGGGCAATAAAACACTGAGGATCATGTTCTGCATGTGGGCACTTCATATCGGTCCCATATTGTTGGGGAGCAAGGTGTGACTTCAGCTCTCAGCATAACAAGCCTTTGTGTTCCTTCTAACAGGAGTACAAGCTGGTACTGCTACACTAGCACATCTTCCCAAAGCGAGTTTTAGCCTGTAAGATGAAATCAGTGTGTGCTGAAGGTGCTCACCTGGTTTAGCATCCCGAGCATGCCCCGGTGACGACCAGCACGGGTGGGTTGGGTCACCCTGGGGCAGCCACAGAGCAACCTGAGGTCCAGGATCCCACCAGAGGGACAGTAGTGGTGTCACTCAGGACCTGTGGGAGGCACTTTGGCACCTGTGGCCTTCCACACTACTTTGGCACAGTCTGTGCCCCCTTGCAGAGGCTATTTCTGAGTGCTTGCCATAAAGCAAAGGAAATCCAGAAGGCAATCAAAAGTGGTGTGATGTTCCATTTGTTGTCACTGCATGGTCAGAGGCTGTGGGTATCTGGAGGTTTAACTCTGCTGGAAAACCTGGACTGTGTTGCAGACAGACCCCCAGCTGAGATGGACTGTGGTACCAAAGTGACAAACTCCTGCCTTCCTGACCTGCAGCCAGGTACAAGGTCAAAAGGAAGAAAAAGCCCTACCTTTCTCATGTTTAAAATGCCACATTTCTGAAGTCTCAGGTGTTCCCTGACTGGAATACTCTCCAGTGCCCTCCTCAGATCTGAGCTTGTCCTTTGGTAATGGTGTGATGGGGAGATGCTAATATGAACCCTGGTGATTTTTCTCAGACACATCCATCTTCGTGCCTCTTCAGCACGGGCATCTCTTTGGAAAGGATTATTTCCGTAGGACCAGGCAAGAACCTCCCACCCGCAGGTGGGTATTTACGGAACAGAATTTTTAAGCAGGCTTGCTTTAATTGCCTCAGATTCCTATTTTTAGTGCCAGGTGTGCCCATGGAGCTATGCTGTGAGAGAAGACGGTAAGCGTGTCTGGAGCACGTGTCATGGCCAGGACAGCAGGATTGTCTTTTGCATTGATTTATCTC